GTGGGGGGGTTTTTGGGGGTGACCCCCCCCCGGGGGGGTATTGGGGGTAAAGCCCCCCTCTAGGCTATGAGGAGGGGGTGTCTATGGGGGTAATGCTGGGGGGGGTAATTTGGGGTAAATATTCTCCCCCTCTAGTCTATGGAGGGGGGACTAATTGGGGTTGCCACCTCCCCTCCCAGCTGGGGGGTAATTGGGCGTACCTCCCATGCTTTTGGGGGTACCCCCTCCATGGGGGGGGCATTGGGATAATCTTCCCCTTGGCTATGGGGGTAGCTGGGGGTAACCCCCCCCCAGGACTATAGGGTAACTGGAGGATTCTCCCCCCCAGGCTAAGGGGGTAAATGGGGGGTTTACCCCCCCCAGAAGAAACCACGGGGGTGCCCCCCACCATGCCACAGCATGGAGAATTCAGGGCTATATTGCGGAGGGGGGCATTGGGGGTACCCCACCACGCCATGGGGAGGCATTAGGGGTGCCCCCCCCATAGAGGAGGACATTGGGGGGGTGCCCCCCTATTCCCCTCCTTTATTGGGGCCCCCCACCATCGCAGCCTGCCGAGGGCTGTGCTCCTGTGTGCAAAGAGGGTGTTGTCCCTTGCTTCTTTTTCCCCGTAAAATAATGAGGTTTTGGTTAAAAAAAAAAGGAGAGGGGGAGTCTGCAGCAGGCAGCTGAGCTCCCCCCTATCACAGCCACGGTCCCTAAATGTCATTTATTGGGGAGGAGGGAGGCTTTTAACACCCCCCACACCTAGTCAATGCACAACCACCCTCTCCACCAGCATCCCTGTGCCCCCCATTCTTGGGGAGGAGGCTTGGGGGGGTCCCTGGATGCCCCCCAAAACACACACACACACCCCCCGCAGCCGCCTAGAAGATGGAGCAACCACGGCCGCAGCCCCTGGAGCCACGGCTTTGTGCCGTCCCTGGCGCACCTCTCCTTTTGGGTTCAAACCTAGAGATTTTAGCTACGCTGGGACGACTCAGGTTTCCTATCAAATTACAGGTTTTTCCCCCAGATTCATCTTCCCTTTTTGATTTTTCCCCTTTTTCTGCTGGTTTTCCATCAATAGGGGCTTCACCAGCAGCGTTGCCAGCAATGTTTAATACCTGCTGCCACCAGCAGCCTGGATGGGGGGAAAAAAACCCACCCTATGTCGGTGAAAAATCCCAAAAGACCCCAAACCCTCCCAGTTTTGGGCACATTTCAACCAATTTAGGACTGCGCAAAACATAAAAATCACCACCCGAGTGGCATTTTGGGTAGTTTTTCCCCAAAAAGCCACGTTTGGAAATGCATTTTGGTGGCCAGCGTCGGGGGGGGGGGCAGTTTCCTCGCTCTGTTTTGGTGCTGAGTTCAATTTTCACCTGTTTTTGTGTGGGTTTTGGTCGGTTTTAAACCTGGTGGCATTTTGGTGGGATTTTAGCTTAAAATTTGCACCTGCTTCATCCCTGCTGGTGGCAAAACCCGCGATGTTTAAACCCATTTTTATCTATTTTCCTCCTCTTTCTGCAAACTGCAGATGTTGGTGAAGCTTGAGAAGGTCCCGCTGAAATATTTGTGGTTTAATATTTTTTTTTTCTTTATCTGGTTCCTTTTGCATGTTAATAATTGGGGTTTCTGGCAAATTGGTGGATTTTTCATGGTTTGTGTTCGATGTGAAGTCAACGTCGCTAGCCGGTGCCTCCAGAAATTGCTGCTGAAACTGGGGGTGAATCCCTGCGTTGATGAACTTTTAAGAGGCGGCGAAAGCAACACAGAAAAATTGCAGAAAGAGTTTGGAGACATGGCAAAAATGGTGCAAAAAAGACGCAAAACGGCATTGAGAGACACTGAGAAAACAGTGTAGAAAATACTGTGAAAACGGGGTGGGAAAGGTGCAAAACAGCACTGAGAGACGCTGCAAAAATGGGTGGAAAAGGCATAAACTGACACAGAAAAGGCATAAAAAGGGGCAGAAAAGGCACAAAACACCACAGAAACAGTATGAAGCTCCACTGAAAAGCTGCAAAAATGGGTTGAAAAAGCTACGAATCGGCAGATTTTAAGCGCAAAGGGGAAATTTTAACGTTTTCCTCCCAAAACACTCTGGCTCAAGGTCGGCATCTTGACATCCTGCTGAAATTGGGGTTTTTTTACAGCATTTTGATTGAGCAATGGTATTTTGGGGGAAAATGAGCGGATGTGACAGCGAGATGTGGGGACTTCGGGGACACATGGGGACCTTGAGGACTCTGCAGTACCCCGTCGCACCTGGAAAGTTATTTTTTATTAACCCACCATCACAAATGGGCTGAAATCGGGATTGTATGAGCCACTTTTTGGGCCAGTTTCCTAAAAACAGAGTCTAGGCACCATGGTGGCATTTCCAGGGCCATTTCCATCATTTTTTTCCCCAAATTTTCTCAGCACCATTGACAACCCCTTAGACTTTTTTTCCCTCCAAATTCAAGCATTTTCAGCAAATTTTGATACCCATCGCCCTGGAAAAAGCTCTTGGCATGACAGGAACCCCTGAAGGATGGCAGCCACCAGCTCCTTCCCTCCATGTTGGAAAATCAACAGGATTTCACCCCAAAAAACCCACTGAAAAATTTCAGCTTGCCTTTTCTCCTCTTTTCCCATTTCCACCTGTTTTTTATGGGTCTAATAAACAATATCGCCATCTGCCTACCTCATTTTTGGGTTGAAATCATGCATTTTGGCCATCCCATGCTCATCCACATGTGGTTGTTGCTTTCATTCCCCCCGCACACATCGACATGGAAATGAGCATTTTCCTAAAAAGCCATTTCAGGACGTTCTCGCAGCCCATTGAACCCTGACAGGTTGTGCTGCGGCCGCTGTTTGACTGGTAACTTATCATTTTGCAGCGAAGCCGCCGATGGCGCTCACTATTTTTTTTCATTAAAACAGTATTTTGGGAGACATCAGCCAGCAAGGTCTTGCAGGGAAATATTAATTATAGAAAATAAATTAACAGCTCTCCTGGAGACGAAGGCACTGCTGGACAAGCCCTGTCCCACGACGAGCAGCATGGGCCTGAATCAAATATAATCGAGGCTTTTTTTTCCCCTCCTTTATAAAATTTCCTGCTTAATAAGCAAATCTGCCTGATCCCGTTAACGATTGACCTGATTCTCCCCGCTTGCCCCGAAGCCGCTCTGTTAAATTTTGCTGGTTTTGGAAAACTGTTAACCAAACAGCAAGGGATTTTTGTTTTGCTCCACTGGCCAGTTTTTCCTCCCAAAAAAGGGGTTGGAAATGTGGCTTTTTGGTTAAAACTTCCCCAATTTATAGCTTAATCTGCACAGAGAGTAAACTAAGCCCAAATCAGGTAAATCACACAGTCACAGCGCATCCTTCAGGCGCTGCTGCTTTTTTTTTCTTTCCTCCACTTTCTTCATCCCATTTGGCCACAGGAGCGACTGAGGGTTCATTTTGCCAATCTTCAGCAGCATTTTTTTACCAAAAGGAAAGTTTTTCAGCCCAAAAAAGGCCAGAGCTGCCTTGAGGGATTCCAGTCCCTGTTCATCCTCCAGCAAATCCCCATCGGAGGCACCACTTGAACTTCTCTTTTTGCAGCACTCCTCAACCCATCATTTTCTACCCCATTTCTGCCAGTCCCTGCAGTCCCAAACTGGGACTCATTCTTCCCCAGGGAGGCATTTTTCCATAAAACACCACCAAAGTGGGCAAACTGGGCGACATCAACCCCTAAAGCACAGTGAGGACAGCTTTCTGTAAATCCTCTCTTCCAATATTGGCCTGTTCCTTCCCAAAATGAGGGTACATTGGGCTTAATTCCAGTTTTTAGGCTAATTTAATTCAACTAATTTAGGGCAAACACAGGACAATGTGCTTAGAACTAGCTTGACATGAAAACTGGGCTTAAATGGGATCCTTTTAGGGAATTAAGTGAATATCTTGGTAGGCTGCAAACCGAGCAATGCTCACATCCTGTTTTCTATCAGATTAGCTAAAACGGGGGGTTTTAAGAGATTTGAAGCAATGTGGTGAGGAGGAAAAGATGGAGGGTCACATCCCGCTCATGCTGGTGCTCGGCTTTCCAGGTGAGACCCTGAAATCCCCGCGGGCTCGGCACGCTGCCAGCCCCTGCCGCCATGGCATCGCCGGCCGTCAGCCCCGACTCGTCCTCCCACGAAGCCCTCTCCTCCGTCAACTCAGCACCGGCGTGTTCTCCCACCTCTGACTCGGAAAACCTCAGCCCCGATGAACTGGAGCTGCTGGCGAAGCTGGAGGAGCAAAATCGGTGAGTGCCAACAGATATCTGCCCCATTCGGCCTTTTTATCGTCCTTTTTTTTCAAGTATGTCCCTTAAAATCAAAGACGCTGGACAACAATGAGCCATTTCCCCCAAGCATTGCTCCAGCCGGGATAAAAACACTCCAGTTTCTTATTTTCAAGGTTATATTTTTCTCTTTGAAAGCAGCAGGGTTTGCTCATTCAGGCAGGCAAAGGGGATTTCTGGAAGGAGGCAGCTGTTTGGAAATAATAAACCCACCCACTTCGGTGGTGGGTTTTAAACCTGCTCTTGACAGGAAATGAGCCCTGAGGCTCACTTTGCCGAAATACTGGGCAAAAAGCTCCATCCCTGGCATTAAACTGGTGTTAAAATCAAGCCCTAAAATGCAAATTTCCTTGCAAAGCCATTTTTAAGCAAATTTACTTTGGAAGAAAAACATTGGAAATCTGTTTTTTAAGCAAATTCATTAAAGAAACCATCCCCGGGCAACTGTCAGCATCTGGCCGGGGCAAATAGCCCATCCAGGTGCTGTTCTGGGGTGGTTTGGGGGAATATCTCCTCCTTTGGGGTGGTTTTGGGGGAATATCTGCTTATTTGGGGTGCTCTGGGGAGAATCTCTCTTCTTTTGGCATGGTTTTGGGGGAATCTCTCCTCCTTTGGGTTTTTGGGGGGAGAATATCTTCTTTTTTGGGACTGTTTTGGGGGACTCTCTTGTCCTTTGTGGCTGTTTGGGGGAATATCTCCTCCTCTGGCACAGTTTTCAGGGAATATCTCCTTCTTTGGGGCATTTTGGGGGAATATCTGCTGTTTGAGGGGAATCTCTCGTCTTTTAGCACAATTTTGGGGGAATCTCTTCTCCTTGGGGGCTGTTTTGGAGGAATATCTCCTCATTTGGGACTGTTTTCGGGGAGTATCTCCTTTTTCGGGACCATTTTGGGGGAATCTCTTCTCCTTGGGGGCTGTTTTGGAGGAATATCTCCTCGTTTGGGGCAGTTTTGGGGGCTGTCTCCTCCTTTGGGACTTTTTTGGGGCTATCTTGGTCTCTCGCAGGCTACTGGAGGCTGACTCCAAGTCAATGCGCTCCATGAACGGCTCACGAAGGAACAGCGGCTCCTCCTTGGTCTCCAGCTCCTCAGCCTCCTCCAACCTCAGCCACCTTGAGGAGGACACCTGGATCCTCTGGGGCCGCATCGTCAACGAGTGGGACGAGTGGCGGAAGAAGAAAGAGAAGCTGCTGAAGGTGAGGAAACTGCTTTATTTTAAACTCTATTTTAACCCCGCTGCAAAAATCTGCAGCATCAGCATGACCTTCCCTGTGCCAGGACAGGACGATGTCTCCCCATCCACAAGGAGCTTCCGCATCTTCTTGAAACCCATTTTCTCAGGCCTTTGCTCCATTTTTGCACAGGAGCTCATCCGCAAAGGGATCCCCCACCACTTCCGTGCCATCGTCTGGCAGCTGCTCTGCAGTGCCACTGACATGCCCGTCAAAAACCAATACTCAGAGCTGCTCAAGATGTCCTCTCCCTGTGAGAAGCTCATCCGACGGGATATCGCCCGTACCTACCCGGAGCACGAGTTCTTCAAGGGACAGGACAGTCTGGGCCAGGAGGTGCTCTTCAATGTCATGAAGGTAATGTCTTTCCTCGAACATCAATGGATCTTGGCCATAGCCCAGACACTGCTTTGGGTTTTGAAGCTGTTTTAAGTGGATATTAATTTTTGATGGGTTTGGTTTCCACCACAAACTCCTGGAACCATCACTTCTTGCAGCGTGACAGGTCTTTCCTTGCAAAGCGACCTCATTCCCCAGACCTCATTTTTCCTGTTGAGTTGTACTCTGAATTAAGAAACAAATAGTTGAGTATTTGGGGGTCTAAATTCAAGTTTGCAGCAACATCATGCTCACAGGAGGTGTTGTCAACCAAAACAAAGCTATTTTTGATGTCATGGTCAAGGCTTCCCTCCACTGTTGGCCTCCCACAGCAAGCAGGGATGGTGGCCCTGCGAATCCCCCTGCTCACACGTATATTTATTTTGAATTTTTTTCCTCCTTCCAGGCCTATTCACTGGTGGATCGGGAGGTCGGATACTGCCAGGGTAGCGCCTTCATCGTGGGACTGCTGCTAATGCAGGTTTGTGATGACTCCGGGGCGAGGAGGGGCTGCCGATGGGTTTTCAACACCCTCCAGAGACATGGTAGAATGGGGTTGGGAAATGGGAGCCTTTTTCTTGATCCTCAGGAGCAAAATGGGCTCATTTCCACCATCCCACTTACTCCTGATGGGTTTAAAATCCCCCATTCGCATTTCCCTTCACCCAGGGACGGGTTCTGGCACGTCCCATCCCATCACCTAATGGGAAGAGGCTCCGCATCTGGAGCTGCCAGCAGAGATTCAAGAGGGAATTCATGTCCCTTTGGGTCTCCAGATGCCTGAGGAGGAGGCCTTCTGTGTGTTCGTGAGGCTGATGCAGGAATACCGCTTACGGGAGCTCTTCAAACCCAGTATGGCTGAGCTGGGGCTCTGCATCTACCAGTTTGAGTACATGTTGCAGGTAGGCACCACCTCACGCCCCCCAGAACTCTCAGGGTGGCAAGAACCGGTGGGTGGATCTGGGGGACAAGGACAGGGAGAGGTAGGAGTGAGGTGGCAGCTTTTGGGGGAAATGGGTTCTTCCAATGGAGCTCGTGTCCAGCGACACAGATCCTGGGGATGTCTATGAGATGCTCTGAGGACTATCCATGATTTTTCAAGGGGGACATCAGTGAGTCCCCAAGAATGTCCACAACATATGCTGGGGGCATCCATGAGACCCCAGGACAACTCCATGAGGTGCCCCAGGCACCATCCGTGAGACCCTGGGGCCCACCAGTGAGACACCCAAAGGAACTGGCCACGAGACACCCCAGGAACCATCCACAAGATGCCCTGAGGGACATCCATGAGCCCCTGGTGACCATCCAGGAGCCCCCCCCACCAGGAGACCTTCCATGAGACCCCCACAAGATCTCGTGGACCTGTTCAAACCTCAACAGCCATGAATGACCCCTAAAAACATTCACCATTCCTTGTTTCTCTTCATTTCCCCCATTTCTCACATCCAGGAGCAGCTACCGGAGCTGAACATCCACTTCCGCTCACAGAGCTTTCTCACCTCCATGTACGCCTCGTCCTGGTTCCTCACCCTCTTCCTCACCACCTTCCCTCTTCCTGTGGCCACACGTGTCTTCGATATCTTCATGTATGAGGTAACGGGGCCGCGGCCAACACCATAAATCACAAAGGGACCACAACCACATTTTCCACTTGGATGTGGAAATGTTCTCCCCATGCCAGCTGGTTTGGTTTTGGGGAGAAAAACCCCAAACCCCGGGTGGGAAAGGTGATGGCGTGGGGTCAAGCATGGACCCTTCCCGCAGGGGCTGGAGATCGTCTTCCGTGTGGGGATGGCGCTGCTGCAGTTCAACCAGGCCGAGCTCGTCCAGCTCGACATGGAGGGCATGTCCCAGGTACGTGCCCATGGACATGGGACATGTTTTGGGGTGGATTTGTCCAACAGGATGTATTTGGGGACAGATTTGTCCAATGGGACATGTTTTGGGGTGGATTTAAGCAACAGGACGTGTTTTGGGCTGGATTTAGGCAACAGGACATATTTTGGGGTGGATTTGTACAACAGGGCATCCAAGGGGATGTATTTTTGGGCAGATTTGTCCAAGGGCACGTAGTTTGGGGCAGATTTAGCCCCACATTTAGTATTTTCGGGCAGGTTTTTCCCAACTGGATGTGTTTGTGGACCAGTTTATGCAACAGGCCATATTTTGTGGTGGATTTGTGCAATGGGTTGTATTTTAGGTTTACATGATGGGCCATATTTTGGGGGTGGTTTATGCAATAAGTTGTATTTTGGGGTGAATTTACGCAACAAGGGTGTGTTTTGAGGCAGATTTATGCAACAGGCCCTATTTTGGGGCTGGTTTTACCCAACGGACCCTACTTTGGGACTGGTTTACGTGATGGCCTGTATTTTGGGGCCATGTTTCATGGCTGGTTTCCGCACCCGCAGTACTTCCAGAAGGTGATCCCACACCAGTTCGACAGTTGCCCCGACAAGCTCATCCTCAGGGCCTTCCAGGTCAAGTACAACCCCAAGAAGATGAAGAGGTAAGAGGGGGAGATGGGTTCCTGCACTTGGATGGGGTCCCCCCAGCAGCCATGGGGCTCAGGGCCAGGGGGTCTGCTCCCCATCCTCGTGTCCCAGCCTGTCCCCATGTCCCGAGCAGGCTGGAGAAGGAGTACGCTGCCATCAAGAACAAAGAGATGGAGGAGCAGATCGAGATCAAGGTGAGACGGGTCAAGTGTTGGCATTCTGGGGCCGCTTGAGCCATCCTCATGGCCGCTTGGCCCATCCCTGGGGCCAGTTGAGCTCTCCTGACATGGTGTAGCCCATCCCTGGGGCCATCTAAGCCATCCCGGGACCACTTTGGCTCATCCCAGGGTCACTTGACCCATTCCCAGAGCCGTTTGAGCCATCCTGGGATGGCTTAGCCCTTCCCCACGGCCATTTAAGCCATCACAGGGCCACTTTGACTCATCCCTGGGGTCACTTTGAGCCATCCTGGGGCCATGTAGCCCATTCCTGGGGCCACTTGAGCCATCTCAGGGTGGCTTAGCCTCTCCCTGGAACCACTTGACTTGTCCCTAGGGCCACTTGAGCCCTCCTGGGGCAGCTTAGCGCATCCCCAGGGCCATTTAAGTCATCCTGATGCCACTTTGACCTATCCCAAGGGCCATTTAAAGTGTCCCCAAGGCCACTTGACCTGTCACAGAGCAGTCTGAGCCATCCCAGGGCCACTTTCACCCATCCTTGGGGACGTTTAGCCCATCCCTGGGACCATCTAAGCCATGCTGGGGCCACCATGACCCATCCCATGGCCATTTAAGCTGCCCCCAGGGCCATGTAAGCCATCCCAGGGCCACTTTGTCCCATCTTCAGGGTTGTTTGAGCCATCCCAGGGCCATTTGACCCATACCCGAGGCCACTGGAGCCATTTGGGGACAGCTTAGCCTATGCCCGAGGTCACTTTACCTTGAGTCCCCCTGCCCCCAAGCTGTCCCCAGGGCCCAGGGCCCAAACCCCCCCCAGGGCTGATTCCTCCCCATTTTTGCCCCCCAGCGCCTCCGCACCGAGAACCGCCTGCTGAAACAGCGCATTGAAACCCTGGAGAAGGTGAGCCCCACGTCTGGAACCCCAAAACCCCCCTGGGAGCACCCCAAAACCCCGCTGGGGGCATCCAAACCCCCTGGGGGCACCCAAACCCCCCCGGAGCACCCAAAATGTCCCCCGGAGCACCCCAAACTCCCCTGAGGCACCTATACCACCACTGCCCAGAGATCATGGCACCCATGGGTGCAACCCTGTAACCTCCAGCACCCCTTTTATGGGCCACACCCCCAAAATCTCCCCTCCCAGCACCATTTTGGAGCAGAAATAGGACATTTAAGTCCAGCGAGTGCCTGCTTCATCATTTTTCCACACAAAGTCTCCCTCCAGGAGGTGGGAAATGCTCCGGTTTAGTGCAAAACACCACCATCACTGTGTTTTTCCCCCGGCATGGAGGGAAAAGAGCTAAAATCCTTGGAAAACACTCCAAAACGGGAACCGATGATGCGCGGGAAGGTTGCCGGGTGCCTCCGCTTCGTGGCTTCTCTCGCTGCCTCCGTCTCCTTCGTTTATCTTGTTATGTCTCTCCTCTCTTTCTCTCTCTTCTCCGCTGGCGGCCGCAGGAGAGCGCGGCTCTCGCCGACAGGCTCATCCAGGTAGCGTCAAAAATAGCTATTTTTCTCTTTTCTGCTGCGTTTTAACCCTTTTCTTCCCCCTTTTGCTTCCCAGCCCGCCTGCGTCTGGCTCGTTTGGGGAAGATTTGCCCTTTTTCCTGCTTTTCCGGAGGCTCCCGTGCACCTTCCCCGCTTTGGGGGGTGGGGGGGGAAGGAGGATATGGGGGGCAGTTGGTGAAAATGGGGGGTTTTGGCCCATTTTGGGGCTCAGTGGAAAGTGGGGGGTGGCGCGGTGGCATATGGGGGTGGGGTTTGGCCAAGATGGGGTAAAAGCTGCCATTTTGATGAGTTTGACCAAAATAGGTGGATTTTGAGCGGAAGGTCATGGGTTGTGGGGTGAAAGTGGCTCAGAGGGGACAAAATGTCCCTGGAGGTCGCCACAGGGCAGCTGTCACCTCCTTGTCCTTGATGTCACCTGCTGTGGGGCTGGTGTCACCCCCCAGGGCTGGCGTCACCCCCTTCATTCCCAGTGTCACCCCCCTTGTCCCCAGTGTCACCCATTACAAGGCTGGTGTCACCCACCACAGGGCCAGCATCACTCTGGTGTCACCCCCTCGTCCCTGCTGTCACCCTCTGCGGAGGGGGCTGGCGTCACCCCCTCATTGCTGGCATCACCCCCTTGTCCCCAGTGTCATTCCCTTGTCCCCAGCCTCACCCACTGTGGGACTGGCATCACTCCTCATCCCTGGTGTCACCCCCTCATCCCCAGCATCACCCCGTGTCCCCAGCATCACCCCCTTGTCCCCACCACCCCTCCACTGCCACCACACCCCTCCCAGTGACACGCTGCGGGGAGGAGAACCGGTCATGCCATGCCGTGGTGGTGACACGTCCCCGCTGTCCCCAGGGCCAAGTGACACGGGCACAGGAGGCAGAGGAGAACTACATCATTAAGCGGGAACTGGCGGTGGTGAAGCAACGCTGCACCTCGGCCACCGAGAACCTGCAGCGTGCCCAGACCACCATCCGGCAGCTGCAGGACCAGCAGGTTGGTGTCCCCAAATTGTCCCCAGATGTCCCCAAGCGTGCCCATCGCCCCCACACATCCCCCTTTCAATTCGCGCCCTGCTGCAGCCCGGATTTGGGTACGGGTCGTGGGTGCCACTGCCGTGGGCAAGGCAGGGACAGGCGTTGTGCCCCATGGGTGACACATTTGGGACGGTGGCAGGGGAACCCACGCTTCAGCGAGGAGTTTGTCACCCACCTGGAGACAGAGCTGGAGCAGTCGCGGCTGCGGGAGAGTGAGACCCTCAGCGCCCTTAAGGAGATGCAGGATAAAGTCCTCGACATGGAGAAGGTGATGGGGACAGCTCGCGGGTGTCATGCTGGTGGCCCTAGGGACAGGGATGGTCCCACGAGTGGCCCTGGGGAGTGTCACACAAGTGGTCTTGGGGACAGGGTCTGTCACACAAGGGGCCTTGGGGGGTCCTGGACCTGGTGTCCCCTGTCCCTGGGGATCCCCTGTGCCACACAAGTGTCCCTAGGGTTCCCCCTGTGCCCAGGGATCCCCTGTGCCACATGTCCCTGGGGGATCCTTGGTCCCCAGTGTCCTCCATCATCTCCCCCAACACCTTATGAGTGTCCCCACCTCCACCTGGCAGAGGGGGACAAGCCCCCAGTGCCACCACCCTGGGATTTCCCTACCAATGACCGGTGCCACCACCCCAAGGTGTCCCCGATGACATCCAGTGACACTCCCTTGGGATTGTCCCTGCCCTGGGCTGTCCCCACTGATAATCTGATGTCCCCGCCCTGGGTTGCCCCCACCCCTGGGTGTCCCCACTGATGTCCCCTGTGTCCCCACAGAGGAACAGCCTGCTGCCGGACGAGGACAACGTGGTGCGGCTGCAGGAGGAGCTGCAGGCGCTGGCACTGCGCGAGGCCGAGGCCGTCAAGTCGCTGACGGAGCTGCAGCAGCAGGTGAAGGACCTCAGTGACAGCTGGCAGGTAAGGACCCGGATGCCTGGGTGCCCCCCTGGATGCCTGGGTGCCCCCCCTGGACACCTGGGTGCCCCCCTGGATGCCTGGGTCCCTTCTCGATGCCTGGGTCCCTCCCAGACACTTGGGTCACCCCCCAGACGCCTGGGTCCCCTCCCAGCCACCTGGGTCCCTTCCCGGTCACCTGAGTCCCTTGTCCTGACACTGGGTCCCCTCCTGGCCACCAGGTTCCCTCACCTTGACACCCGGGTCCCTCCTGGGTCCCCTCCTGGCCACCTGGGTTCCTTGTCCCCACATATGGGTCCCTTCCGGGCCACCTGGATCCCTTGTCCTGATGCCTGGGTCCCCTCCCAGCCACCTGGGTCCCCTCCTGGTCATCTGGGTCCCTCATCCCAATGCCTCCGTCCCCTCCCATCCACCTAGGTCCCTCACCCTGCCACCCAGGTCCCTTGTTCCGACATCTAGGTCCCTTCCTGGCCACCTGGGTCCCTTGTCCTGACACCAGGTCCCCTCCCAGACACATGGGTCCCCTCCTGGCCACCTAGGTCCCTTGTTCCAACATCTGGGTCCCCCCTGTCCACCTGGGTGCCCTCCTGTCCACCTGGGTCCCTTGTCCCAACACCCATGTCCCCTCCCTGCCATCTGTATCCCTCGTCCCAACGCCTCTGTCCCTTCCTGTCCACCCGGGTCCCTCACCCTGCCACCCCGGGGTCCCCACGGGGGCCACCCGGGTCCCCCCATCCACCTGGCGGGTGCCTGATGGGTGCGGGGTGCAGGCGGGCCGGGCGGGCGGGCGCTGGAAGGAGTCCCCGCGGCGGAGCAACGCCAACACGCTGCAAGAGGCCGTGGTGGCGGCGCGGCTGCGGGAGGCCCAGGCCCAGGCCGAGCTGCGGGCGCTGCGCCAGCGGGTGCTGCAGCTCGAGACGCAGGTCAGAGCCTGGGCCGCATCCTGACGGGGGGCT